CCCCAAAACCCCAAAACCCCAAAACCCCAAAACCCCAAAACCCCGCTGAATAGAAATCTTGGAATTCAAGTAGATATTGAAATAGTGAGGATAATTAATAAATCATTTCTGATAGGACTTGCTTTTGGACTCTTTTGGCTAGGACAAAGCGAAATATTAGCTGACGGCGCTTTCAATATGAACCTGCATGTTTTACTGTAATTCTCTCTTGGCATGTCTTCTATAGCAATACACAATGACGAAATTGATGAAAATTAGAGCGAGAACTATGAGAACAATTACACTACCCTTAATACCATCACCTTTGTCTAAGAAATCAGGAGTATATGAACCTAGAGTACTTTGGCAATAGTTTGGAGCTATTTCAAATCCAGCACAAATAGCATTGAACACTGCAAGTGATTCAATTTATCCTCTATATGTCCTGTTATTAATGACTATTGATGGGAAGATTCCGCTCCCGTATTGCTTCCAGTAGTCTATTTCAGAATCAATTACCTTATTAGTAGTTGTTGATAAATCCCAATTACTGTCTGAAAAGGAGTCTGCAACACATTTTTAAGTTTCCTAGAAATCGAGCCCTAATTTCTAGTGAGCGTTCTTTGAGCAATCGGCATTGATGGTTGAATAGCAGTTATAATGAACATACTTAATATAGGTCCACCACATAAATCTGTTCTTATTTGATCCATAAACTTTGTCATATATGCATTTTTATCTCAAATCTTCTTAGATAATCTCTCTGCCAGTCATATTTACTTGTGGGTCGACTGCACAATATTTACCATTAGCATAGCAATCATTATCGAGATACTTTTTCTCACAGTATGGGCATTTCCAAAAGACATAGTGAGGGGTAAAGAGTACCTTATCTCCGAATTTTTGATCGTATTACTAGAAGTCTGTAATGAAATCTAATGCTCTGTCGTTTGATGATGTAAACCATAGATCATACTCAACTCTATTGTCTGGCTTTTCCATCATAAATTCGGCCATAAGAGCTAATTGGTCAAGTTCCGTTTGCGAAGCTCTTTTCACAAAATCTATTAATTTTTTACCATCAGTTTTAGTAATGATCATGGAGGGAATTCTAATACCGCCACCAGTGCCATCATCACTTAGTACAATATCTTCTACCTCCTTGTCAGAGTCATTGACTATGATAACTACAGACACCTCTATATTTTCCAAATTTCTAACTTTAGTGACGAATGAGCATCCACCACCTCTTTCGACAATATAGAACGGAGTTATATCTCCATCATAGTCAACCTAGAAATCCTAATGTGAAAACTCCTTGCATCCGTAATGATTATCCGCATCATAGTATAACCTGCCAATCTATTTTAAGTTGTTAAGCTAGTTAATATAAGCATATTCTTACAATAGAGTGGCCGTATGGGATATAGCCGAAGTTAGCATAGCTTGCTTTGATTGATCCATCTAATCAGAACGAATGTTAAACTGCAATATTTTACCAGTAAATTTGCCTTGAAGTTAAGTTGGACTCAGAATCTAGAGCCTTTGACTGGACAGTTCAAGGTTGATGCCCAAGAGTGCTAATAGTATCATTGATTTGAGACTCTGATATTTCTCCATCATACTTTTTAAATTGAAACTCATATTATAATAAATAAAATATTAAACTATTACTATCTATCAAAATATTATTAAATTAACTTTTACAAAATCATCATAATTTCACTTGAAGCTAACTAACATTCAACAGCAGACTATCTTTTAAAAATACATAACTTATGCATTATAAATTTAAGTCTTAATCTACTTTGGTCACACTAGTGAACTGACTTGACTAAGCAGCACTTGTAGCATATTAAGTGAGTTCTATTTAGACTTGACATTGACTAGCATCCCTTCTTTAGCTGTTTGATCCTTTTAAGTCTCTTCTATATTTTTAATGTCATCATCCAGACCTGAGAGTCCAGCTTGTATGGTCTTAGCTAAATTCTCAAAATACTTCTTTCTCATGACATCATCTAGGTATTTGCTGTCTGATAGTATAGCCTCAGTAATTTACCCTTGTTTCAAATAATACCTTTCCCTTGTAATCATATACCAGAAGAGATTAAGAGAAGCTTGGATTCTCTCTGTCAGATCTAGAATGTAAATAGTCTCATCTTTAAGACAATCTAGAGTTAACTCAAACACTTCTTTTACACTTTCAGCATAGCTCTTAAATATCTCGACTGAGGAGTCAGTGAAGTTCTTATAGAATTGAGACATCAACACTGAAGTACCTCTATCATTCTTTTCATCGTCCAATATGCTAAAAATGTAGGTAAAAATTCTTATTTGACCCTCAGTTGTATACATTTTAAGTATCTGATGAATCAGCTTCATACTAAGTTTGGAACCATTCTCAGATAACTGCCCACCCATCATATTGAAAACCGATTGTAATATGTATTGAATCGATTACTCATCTCTAGTAAATTAGCCTAAATTTTCATAAATTGGTTAATTGGTTTAATTGATAAAAGTCCAAAAGCAAAGCGATTCTAACCCAATCATGTTGAGAGTTGTTGATCTTTAATATTTTAAGCAGTATCTTAATAAAGGTTGCATGCAATCAAACAAAAACTAACTTGAATATGGTGATTCATATGTAAGCAGAGTTGAATATGCTTGTTCATTATTAATCTATTTACTAGTGCCGTTTAGAGCGCCTAATGCTTGCTTTATTGTAAGATTTAGATATGCAGCAAGGCCAAACACATTGTAGTTGTCCTACCTGTCATAGCAATCTCTTGCTTCCTCTAATACATCAGCCCAGTTTTTATCTGAGTCAGCGTCTGCACATTTTACATGCCAGAAAAAGAGGAGATGAACCCAATTAGGACATACCAGTTTTATCTAAGTAACTACCTATGTGATTACTTAGTCAAACCCCTCAAAGTAGTACTTATGCTTCAAAGTAATTAATTCACTAGGCTTTATTTCTTTCCTGTGATCAAATATATTCCTTTAATGTCTGCCTTATTCACTATCAACTTCCATCTATTCCTGCTCCAATTTAGTTTCATATTCCTCAACAGTAATCATAAACTAAAAGATGAACTGCACTAAATCAAACAAGAAATTGATGGTATAATGTGCACTCTCAATCCCATACAACTTATCTGGATTATTTTACTCCTCTTCCTCATATTCATCAATGAACTTATCCTAGCTAAAGTCTACATAAAAGTCAAATATCTGATTGTTTATAGAGTTATAAGAGGGAACACTTATTGATTTTATGAATTAGCTCATAATCTTAATCAAGTCATTTTCAAAATAGTGCAAGTCAAAATTTGATAGCTCTCTTACTCTCTACTTTTCTTGCTTTTCATAATCATTTTCCTCATTGAATAAAGGGCAAGGTAGTTCAACTCCTCTTCTCAGATTGATTGTATGTAGATAGCTTTTAGCCTCAAGCTTTAGTAGACCCCCGATAGCAAACAAACTGCCCATTAGGTACTTGCATCTATTATTTCCTACAATCTGGAAAAGTCTTCCAAAGTATACCAATAATTTGGCAACCTTCTATGTTGAAATAATCTTATCAGTTGAATATAATATTTCTGCAGTTTAGATGAGCAGCTTTTGCTTATCACATTCGAATAACATTTTAGCCAATAGATTATTCACCAGATAGTTTGATTTAGCTTAAGGATGAGTTATTTGATCTAATTTTTATGATACCTCTTCATGTGTTTATATTCTCAAGTTTAGATATGAATCTTATAAATCAATCTACTCATCATTAATCACTGCGTATTCTTGCTCGTAATAAGTCAGCTTAAATATAGTAGGAAACACTTCTAAGCCAGTATTCTTAAAGAAATCTTGATAAGGCAAATCTCTATCAATCATAGTCAGAAAATCTATGATCTTTTATAGCTTCTCAGGTTTCTTTGCAGATGATTTACTCAGTTTGACAAGCCTTTTGTTCATATACGATTCTAGCTTCTACCTTAACTCTGATTTAGTAGAGTTAAGTGCTTGTGGATTCAGCACATAATCTTTATAGTACTCTAAGACCTTAACAAAATCTTATATTTTTATGACCTTAGCTGGGATATCCATTTCTTTTTTTATTAATTCTAGAAAATTCTAATTACATATAATGGAAATTTTTGCAATAGGGGTTTTGGGGTTTTGGGGTTTTG